GTGGGTGGTCATCCTCACTGATCTCAAAAAGATGGCGGACTGTCATGGATAGCGAACACTGATTGGTCAAATTTAAAATTTGTTGTTGTATGACAAATCACGACTTCAACTGACAGATACTTCATGAAAATAATTTGCTTTTTGCACTGCAGTATTTTGTACGTTTACAAAAAACTTTGACAGCTTTCAAAGCAATTTGCTCTATAAAGAGTTTAATGAAACAATTATGGTATCAAATACCAATTGAAAAGATATGGACTACTGTATGGAGCCAAATGAAGAGCGGCAAGGAAACGAAAAGAAAGCCGAACGTCTCGCGAAAAGGAGGGAGCCAGCGAAGACGACAACGTTTGCTCGAGGAGACTGCTGAGGAAAGAGAAGCTCGTTTGGGAAAGCGTAGAGAAGCATGGAAAAAAAGACTGCTGAAGCGAAAGGTATTAAAGCAAAGGCTTGTCTTCACAACGTTATGTACCAATGATACTGCAGCTATACAAGTTTAAGTATGATATTCGACCCTCTATATTCGACTATTTCTTCACAATTTTCCAATAAAGAGTTTGTCATGACACGCTCAACTGACCAGACTGTATTTTATTTATATCAGTTATCACAGCTACAGGCAATTTTATGCTGTCAAATACCGTCGGTGGCAACTAAGGGTGAACAGTTGCAGATAAAACATTCTCTATTCTCATTAAAAAGCCTGTAAAAGTTTCCAGTAGGTCTCTAGTCCAACAAGTTCAGACAAAGTTTTGTTACTTATTTTTATTGCACACATGGGAAACAACAATTAAGTGTTGTTGTTCTTGACAAACATTGAAGATTCTAATCACGCGAATGTTTTTATGAGCGACTGTTCATCGTTAGTTGCAAACGACGGTACAACATACTATGAACATTGTTCCGACTGTGACCGAATGTGCAACGATATATTTTTCAAAGTTGTTAACAATTCCTAAAATTTGTTTATAGTAAAACAGCCTGCTCAGCACTCACTACTCACGATGATTTCATTTAGAAATGCAGTTACCAGGAAAGGAACTGATTCTAAAATATGTAAATTTAAAAGCATTGGCTATTACGATGTGAAGACAAGGTACAAACTTTTATAGTTGCTATTTGTTATAAATCCTATAAATAAACCGATTCAACAATAATTTTTCCTCGAATTTGCATATTCTATGCTGCATGTTTATATTTTATTTTTATAGTATAAAAATAAAATTGTAATACTATGAAATAAAATACATTTCTGTTTATTGACCAGTACTTATTTAATGTCTTCTTCATCCAGCGGTCAGAGTAAATTTCTACTTCTAGCAAGTAAATATTTGACAAGCAGTCTGGAATAAACACAGGACTTTTAATGCATCAGCCAAATCCAAGTGTGCCCATCCCCCTCGCCCAGCCATTTTCCTGTAAAGCACATCCCGGGGGTTGGGCATTTCCACTCGAACCTTAGCCCCGGCGGGGCATTTGAAATTAATAATTTGGATTCTTGCACTTCACTTGTGGAATTAATATTAGAATGTTAGGGTTTGTAATCCAAGTGAGAATATATGCATGTATATATTTTGTAATCCAAGTGAGAATATTTTGTAATCCAAGTGAGAATATACAAATGTACCGGTATAGTACATGTATATATTTGGTGTATATATTTTGTAATCGAAATGAGAATAGTTTGCAATCCAAGTGGGAATATGCAAATGTATATATTCTCACTTGGATTACAAACCCTAACATTCTAATTTTAATTCCACCAAGTGAAGTGCAAGTTCTAATCCAAATTATTGAAGTCCACCTTATCACAACCCGCACACCCGATTACCTAAATATACATGAACTTACAGTTAAAGCTCAACAGCTGGTCTCTTGTAGCTCAGTAGGTTAGAAGGCTGCACCGAAATTGCAGGGCCGTAGGTTCAATTCCTACCAGAGGACCTTGTGCTGCATTTTTCGCAGTCGTTCCTTGTTAGGCCTTAAAATGTATATATTCACACTTGGATTACAAACCCTAATATTCAAATATTAATCCCAACAAGTGAAGTGCAAGAATCCAAATTATTGAAGTCCACCTTATCATACCCACACACCCGATTACCTAAATATACATGAACTTATTATTAAAGCTCAACAGCTGGCCGAGCTGTAGCTCAGTTGGTTAGAGCCCTTCACCGGAATCGCAGGGCTGTAGGTTCAATTCCTACCAGAGGACCTTGTGCTGCATTTTTCGCAGTCGATCCTGGTTAGGTCTTAAAATGTATATATTCTCACTTGGATTACAAACCCTAACATTCTAATATTAAGTCCACCAAGTGAAGTGCAAGAATCCAAATTATTGAAGTCCACCTTATCATAACCCGCACACCCGATTACTTAAATATACATGAACTTACGGTTAAAGCTCAACAGCTGGCCTCTGTAGCTCAGTTGGTTAGAGCGCTGCACCGGAATCACAGGGCCGTAGGTTCAATTCCTACCAGAGGACCATGTGCTGCATTTTTCGCAGTCGTTCCTGGTTAGGTCTTAAAATGTATATATTCTCACTTGGATTACAAACCCTAACATTCTAATATTAATTCCACCAAGTGAAGTGCAAGAATCCAAATTATTGAAGTCCACCTTATCATAACCCGCACACCCGATTACTTAAATATACATGAACTTACGGTTAAAGCTCAACAGCTGGCCTCTGTAGCTCAGTTGGTTAGAGCGCTGCACCGGAATCACAGAGCCGTAGGTTCACTTCCTTCCATAGGACCTTGTGCTGCATTTTTCGCAGTCGTTCCTGGTTAGGTCTTAAAATGTATATATTCTCACTTGGATTACAAACCCTAACATTCTAATATTAAGTCCACCAAGTGAAGTGCAAGAATCCAAATTATTGAAGTCCACCTTATCATAACCCGCACACCCGATTACCTAAATATACATGAACTTATGGTTAAAGCTCAACAGCTGGGCGAGCTGTAGCTCAGTTGGTTAGAGTGCTGCACCGGAATCGCAAGGCCGTAGGTTCAATTCCTACCAGAGGACCTTGTGCTGCATTTTTCGCAGTCGATCCTGGTTAGGTCTTAAAATGTATATATTCTCACTTGGATTACAAACCCTAACATTCTAATATTAAGTCCACCAAGTGAAGTGCAAGAATCCAAATTATTGAAGTCCACCTTATCATAACCCGCACACCCGATTACTTAAATATACATGAACTGACGGTTAAAGCTCAAGAGCTGGCCTCTGTAGCTCAGTTGGTTAGAGCGCTGCACCGGAATCACAGGGCCGTAGGTTCAATTCCTACCAGAGGACTATGTGCTGCATTTTTCGCAGTCGTTCCTGGTTAGGTCTTAAAATGTATATATTCTCACTTGGATTACAAACCCTAACATTCTAATATTAAGTGCACCAAGTGAAGTGCAAGAATCCAAATTGTTGAAGTCCACCTTATAACCCGCACACCCGATTACCTAAGTATACATTAACTTATGGTTAAAGCTCAACATCTGACCGAGCTGTAGCTCAGTTGGTTAGAGCGCTGCACCGGAATCACAGGGCCGTAGGTTCAATTCCTACCAGCGAGGACCTTGTGCTGCATTTTTCGCAGTCGTTCTTGGTTAGGTCTTAAAATGTATATATTCTCACTTGGATTACAAACCCTAACATTCTAATATTAAGTCCACCAAGTGAAGTGCAAGAATCCAAATTACTGAAGTCCACCTTAATATAACCCGCACACCCGATTACTTAAATATACATAAACTTACGGTTAAAGCTCAACAGCTGGCCTCTGTAGCTCAGTTGGTTAGAGCGCTGCACCGGAATCGCAGGGCAGTAGGTTCAATTCCTACCAGAGGACCTTGTGCTGCATTTTTCGCAGTCGTTCCTGGTTAGGTCTTAAAATGTATATATTACAAACCCTAACATTCTAACCCTAACATTCTAACATTTGAAATTAAGGATTTGGAGGTTTTGCGATCACCGACAACTTGATAATTTTATAAAACAAAACACTTCTGTCTCCAACTTTTACAATCACTGATAAATTAATAATAATTTAAACCAGTCTAGCTGTAGTTTAAATAGAGAATAATACATGGGTGCACGAAATACCAGATTTATTTCGAGTGTTGAACATGAGTGTGCAGCGAACAAGTGAGCGCTGCGAACGAGTGAGATGTCATGTTCAACACAAAAAATAAATCTGGTATTTCCAACCACCCAGGTATTTTTCTGTTTATTATATAAAGGACAGTCTTAAATGAAAAGCGATAATGTTTACAGAAAAGCGATAATTGAAAAGGCGATAATTTTTTACATGTGAGATTATCATGAATAATTTCATTTCTGAGATTATCATTTTTGTCAGTGCTCGAAAACTCGGTAAAACACTATACTTTATATAATAAAAATTCATAAATTTGAACCATGCTAGAGCATGACAACAGCAAAATTCTCTATAGTATGATGCACAATATTTTGGGAGGTGATCGAAATACACGAACAATAAATCAGAGAGTGTTTGCTTGGAACTCACTGGGGGGGGGGGCAACACCCCTGATTATTGCTGATGATAAATTTCAGGTAGATTTCCAGTGCACTTTTAATACGTACATTTAATTAGATTTGCAGAAAATTTTCAGGGGAATTCAGGTAATTCTCAGGACATGACTGAGAAAGTGAATTTGAAAAACAACTGTATTTTCGGAAAAATTATTATATGTCCTGAAAATTTTTTGTACATCTGGAAACTTTTTGGTACTCTATCTAACCACACACACACAGATAATAACGACATTACTGTAGTTATATGAAGTAGCTGGCAATTGTTTATGAGCCCGCAATAGTTATGTTTATATAAGGCGGTGTTTGACCACCATTTTGTAAGATTTGTACTTTAGAGTTTATAGCAAGGTTTTAAGTTGAATAAAGCCTGATTTTACTTTGCTTTACAATTATGGTTTCGACAATTTATTCAACTTAATAAAACTGTCTTCAATATGGATACTGTACTGAAACCTGCTCGTCTTGATTTGGATCCTAATTCACCATCTGCAGCTAAAGAATGGAAACATTGGCATAAGACCTTTACTAACTTTCTGGCAGAGTGTGGTTCAAGAGCTCCAGATAAGTATCGTACTCTTATTAACTACGTATCACATAACGTGTATGAATATATTGAAGACTGTACTGATTATGATTCAGCGCTCGAAGTATTAAATCAGTTATTTATTAGAAAGCCGAATGAAATATTTGCTCGACATTTACTCGCTACTAGACGGCAAAAGCCAGGCGAAACACTCGTAGAATTTATTCAGGAACTTCGGAGACTAAGTAAGGATTGTAATCTAAAAAGTGTTACTGCTGAACAGTATCGGGAGGAACTAATTCGAGACTCATTTATTAATGGTCTACTTTCCCCATTAATTCGTCAACGTCTTCTAGAGAACAGTACATTAGATTTGAAATCTGCTTTTGACCAAGCTAGTGCTTTAGATTTAGCACAGAAGAACGCGGAAACGTATACTATGCCCACTATTCCCACACCTACAGCGGCAGCTGTTTCAGTAACAGAACAGACCTCGAAAGCTGCTGCCTCCAATGACGATGCCCCTCTTGCCGGAACATTTACATCAAAGAAATGTTATTTCTGTGGTAATTCTATTCATAATAGAAGAAATTGCCCTGCCCGAAATTGTGTGTGTGATAGCTGTGGCAAAAGGGGGCATTATGCAAAAGTTTGCAGGTCAAAGGCCCCTACGGTTGCTTCAATATTTTCGCCTTCACTTTGTGCAATCGTGGCTTCCTGTCCAGAGTCTTTGAAGCAAGCATCTGTAATGGTTTCTATTGGAAACAAACCGTTGACTGCACTTGTTGATTCTGGAAGTTCTGACAGCTATATAAGTGAGAGCATGGCCAAACACCTTGATCTTCATTTTCATCCGTCAACACAAGATGTATCTATGGCCCTGAGTTCCCTCAAGTCACATGTTGTTGGTCACTGCTATGTAGATATTGCTCTGAATGAACATATGTATCCATCCTGTCGTCTGGGAATACTTAAAGATCTTTGTAGCGATATAATCCTAGGTCAGGATTTCCAAAAAGAGCACAAGAGCGTTATTATTGAATATGGTGGTTCTAAACCAGAGCTGATGATTCCAAAGTCTACCCCTGTTTGTGCTCTCTCTGCTGCATCAGTTGAAGAGCCGTCTCTTTTTGCGAATCTTCGTCCAGATTGCAAACCGATAGCAAGTAAATCGAGACGCTTTAGTAAGGAAGACCACGATTTTATACAACAGGAGGTTAATCAGCTTCTCTCGGAAGGGATCATTGAACCCAGCAATTCACCGTGGAGAGCACAGGTTGTTGTTGTTAAAGATCCGTTGAATAGACATAAGAAGCGGCTCTGCATAGACTACTCGCAGACCGTTAACCAGTATACCGAGCTTGACGCCTATCCTCTACCACGGATTGATGATATGATTAACAATCTTGCTAGCTACAAATTTTTCTCAACTTTTGATCTTAAAAGTGCCTATCATCAAGTGCCAATAAAGGAAGCTGATCAGAAATATACTGCCTTCGAAGCCAATGGAAGACTCTATCAGTTCCAACGTGTGCCTTTTGGGGTTACAAATGGGGTAGCAGTTTTTCAAAGGGCAATGGATAAGTTTGTCGATGAGGAGGGACTCAAAGATACCTTTCCATATTTGGATAATATAACAGTAGCGGGGCGAGACCAAGAAGAGCATGATGAAAATGTCCAGAAGTTTCACGAGGCTATCCGTCGAAGGAATCTTACCCTCAATGAAACGAAATCTGTTGAATCGAAGTCGTCAATCAATTTACTTGGATATGGTATTGAACATGGTGTAATTACTCCCGATCCAGAAAGGCTACGCCCCCTCCAAGAGTTTCCACCACCAGAGAATGCCCGAACCCTACAGAGAGTAGTTGGTATGTTCGCCTATTATGCAAAATGGATACCCCATTTTTCTGACAAGATCAAACCTTTGATGAAGGCTGTAACATTCCCACTGGATTCGGACGCTCTAGCTGCATTCAATACTCTCAAGAAAGAACTTGGGAACGCAGCTCTTCAACACGTAGATGAGAGCCTGCCGTTTGTGGTCGAATGCGATGCCTCGGAAGTGGCGCTCTCTGCTACGTTAAATCAGGCTGGCCGACCAGTTGCATTCATGACGAGGATGCTCCATGGCAGTGAATTACACTATCCTGCAGTAGAGAAGGAGGCAATGGCTATCGTAGAGGCGGTTCGCAAGTGGCAGCATTTTCTTGCTCGTCGTCATTTTACTCTGAAAACGGATCAGCGTTCGGTAGCGTTCATGTTCGACAGCAGAAAACGAACCAAGATCAAGAACAATAAGATCCAGGCTTGGCGACTCGAGCTTGGTTCCTTCAGCTATACAGTGGAATATCGGCCTGGAAAGGATAATGTTGCTCCTGATTCATTCACACGCGCATTCTCTGCCTCGATGTCATCAAACAACCTCGAAGAAATCCATATTGGGTTGTGTCATCCAGGTGTAACTCGAATGTTACACTTCGTAAAGTCCAAGAACCTTCCATACTCCACTGAAGAAGTTAAGAAAGTGTGTTCAGCATGCCGAAGTTGCGCCGAATTGAAGCCTCAGTTTTATCGTCCGCAGCAACCCGGAAACCTCATCAAAGCCACACAGCCTATGGAGCGACTTAGTATCGACTTCAAGGGTCCACTACCTACTGCTACTCGTAATGCATATATACTCACTGTTGTGGATGAGTACTCCCGTTTCCCATTTGCCTTTCCATGTCCAAATATGCAATCCTCAACCGTCATCATGTGTCTGAATCAGTTATTCAGTCTTTGTGGCATGCCAAACTATATTCACTCAGATCTTGGTACCTCTTTCCTTTCTCGGGAACTAAAGGACTATCTAACGAAACGAGGAATAGCAACGAGTAGAACTACGCCGTACCATCCAATTGGCAATGGTCAAGTTGAACGATACAATGGTATCATCTGGAAGGCGGTTCGTCTTGCTCTAAGGTCAGCTAATCTACCAGATTCAAGATGGGAACTCGTACTCGCTGATGCACTTCACTCGATTAGATCACTTCTCTGTACGTCAACTAATGCAACTCCACATGAAAGGTTTTTTAACTTTCATCGTCGTTCATCATATGGTGTGTCCCTGCCATCATGGATGCAACCTGGTCCCGTATTGCTACGTCGATTTGTTCGAACAAGTAAGAACGATCCACTTGTGGATGAAGTGGAGTTAACGGATGTTAACCCAACCTACGCACGTGTACGTTACGCTGATGGGAGAGAATCGTCTGTTTCTCTACGTGATCTGGCTCCCTGCCCGCCTTCTTCCATCCAGAATGGAACCCCCCTTGAACCTCAACCTTCGCAAGAACCCTTACCTACATCTGATGGATTTCCTCCAACGCCAAACTCTACGACTCTGCAAGTTCCTGAGATTCAGTCAGAAGCGGATAATGCTGAACATGAGTTGTTAACAAAAGAAACTGGTCTAAGGCGTTCTACTCGTGTAAGCAAACCACCAGCTCGTTACGGTTGGTAAGGTTGTGAACTAGTAACTCTATGAATTGAACTATAAAATTTGAACCTTATTGTTAGTTATAGTACTTATATATGACAATTATTATTAATGTAAATTACTTGGGAACTTTCTATTGTTTTAGAACTTTTAGGGAGGAAGAATGAGATAATAACGACATTACTGTAGTTATATGAAGTAGCTGGCAATTGTTTATGAGCCCGCAATAGTTATGTTTATATAAGGCGGTGTTTGACCACCATTTTGTAAGATTTGTACTTTAGAGTTTATAGCAAGGTTTTAAGTTGAATAAAGCCTGATTTTACTTTGCTTTACAATTATGGTTTCGACACACACCCTGCGACGAAGTGCTCGCAGCGGCACTGAGTATATATCTTTTGAAAACAGGCGAGGGGTTATTGCATGCATGTATTTCTAGTAGAGCAAATTGCTTTGAAAGCTGTGAAAGTTTTTTGCAAACGTACAAAATACTGCAGTTGAAAAAGCAAATTATTTTCATGAAGTATCTGTCAGTTGAAGTCGTGATTTGTCATACAACAACAAATTTTAAATTTGACCAATCAGTGTTCGCTATCCATGACAGTCCGCCATCTTTTTGAGATCAGTGAGGATGACCACCCACGCACAGTGACTCACGCCCGCGATATTTGATGAACTTTAGACTTGGCTAATGCTTTCGTTTCCCCGGGTCTAAATAGCCGGGGGGAATTAGTACCCTCGCACGGCGCTTCGCGCCGCCGGCTCGGGGATAAACCCATTGTCGAAACTTATAAAAAATATATGTTTTGGGAAGAATTTGTCATCTGAAAAGCGACACGTCGTTAGTTGAACATACCTTAATCGATATAAAGAGGGTATATAAACTGTTTTGGATCCAAACTGGCTTTCAAAGGCCTTGGGATGATCCATGGATAATCAAGTTTTGTAGCATTAATAGAGACGGACTATCGCTGAACAGGATTTTTAATACAACGAGAACGCTATAATATATGGAGTTAAGGTATGTTGAGCCTATTCATCATGTTTATATTGACTTTAATACAGTTTGCTGTATTGTCATCTGGCTGGAAGTTATTTTTGTTTACCTTACGTTTTATTATTACAATATTAGCATCACGATTTGCCAGCTGCATTGTGACTGTGTGTGACCGCTTATGAAAGGGAAAATCTCACAGAATTCATTCAATCGCCCCCAACAACCAATGCAGTGTTATTTTATAAAACGCCGTTTTATGTTAGTGCTTTAGTTATAATTTAAAGCAATGTCTATAGGATAGCTAAAATTTAATTTAAAACACCACGAAATCAACCACTGTCGACAAATTCGTCAGACCAAACCGCATGTCAACGGTTCAAGCCGGCCGGATAGTTATTAATGAGTATACATTAAAACTAAACTTATCAACTGAAACATATAATATAATACGATACCAGTCTCTCCTTAATGTCAAGGTGAACGAGCTAGGTCACATATTGAATCACAATGTCACACTTCCAAAATTGAATACATCTAACAGCCTCTTATTTTAATTTACCAAGTTGCATTGCGCACTAATGTCCTCTGCTTTACTATCTCTAACGCCAGATGATTTTACACTCCAAAACTATATATGATTCTGTTGCAGCGCTCTAATAAACTGAGCTACAGAAGCCAGTATTGAGCTCTAACCACAAGTTCATGAATGTATATACATATATATCCAAGTATAAGTTATGGGTAAATATAAAGATTTTGCGGCATCTCACTTAAATGAATGATGGGTATTGTAGGATGTCAAGTGATTTATATACAGTAGATCTATTCCCGAAGACCTTAGTAACCAGGAAAAGAAGCAAAAAATGCAACTTTAAGTCCCTGCAGGAATTGAACCTGCAGGCCTGCGACTCCGATGCAGTGCTCTGAGCTAAAGAGGCCATTTGTCAAGCTCTAACCACAAGTTTATGAATGCGTATACTAGGGTACCGTCATATTATGGGTAAGGAGCTAAACCTGTGGCCCTGTGATTCCAGTGCAGTTCTCTGACCAACTGAGTTACAGAGGTCAGTTGCCAAGCTCTAACCACAAGTTCATGTATGTATATATTAGGGTACTGCCATGTATATAAAGAATTCTCATCTCACTTGAATGAATAATATTCAGTGAGCATTGTATATTCAATGAGTATTGAGTACCGGTAAACAATTTACACCTACATTTATTAGACATACATTGTATAGCTACAACAGAAGCGAAAAATTCAATTTTAGGTCCCTGGCAGGAATTATACCTGCTGTCCTACCATTCTGGTGCATTGCTCTGAGCAAGCTCTAACAACAAATTCATGAATGTATATACTAGGCTACTGCCTGGTATACAGTAAGTTACATGGGTAAATACTGTAAACTCGCAACTATA